GTGAATGTTATCCCATGGCAACAACAAAGAGCTCTGATCACAAGTCATGTTCAATTGCTTCTAGAACATGATTTTTAATTTCTATACAACCTCACCGACCAGAAAATGCTCAGGCATTCCTTCTCAGAATCAACAGCTTTTACAGATACTTAGAAATCAAAGTGCACTGAGACGTGCTTGTATGTGTGTGTCTATTTTTAAAAAAGAATAGAATAACCTATTAAACATCTGTGATTTCCTGAAGTGTTCTGTTTAATTTACGAAATTAGAATCAAGTGGAAAAATGTTCAGGGCAATATTAAATTCATTTCTGAAAGTCACTGGAGAAATATAAATGAGAGATAAAGTGTTTGGAAAGAACGTATTTATTTTAAGCAGTGTAGAACTGGGTGGTTTTTGGTTGTTTTTTTTGTTTGTTTTTTTAGACCTGGAATGTGTGGGCTCTGTCTCGTGTCCACTCTTATGAGCACGCTAGTGACCTCAGCTCTACCTTTGGGACAAAGCTTGATTACACATGGTGTACGAGGTGACAGAGGAAGAGCTACCCTTCTTCACATCATTGTTAAAGTTCATATGATTTTCCTCCCTTTAAGTACACTTAAATTTGGGCATCTTTTCATTTTCCTTTTATAATGACTGAAGATAGACTTCTAAAACTCCAAGAAATCTGGCTATGGGGTATAATTGTATGTAAAATGGATAGGTGATGTCTTTAGAGAGAAATCTTTTGTTGTTGTTGGCATTATGGATTAGCTTCTTTTATATGAGATACTCTAATACATTTGACAAAGACCTAAAGATGCTCTATTTAAGCAAAGTCAACTAAAGAATACAAAGTGGTGGATACAAACTGGCAATCATCTTCAAGCACAAACTTTAATGGCTTCCAGGAAAACATGCACTTACGAATTCTCTATTGGAAAAGCCAAGGAATGCCAAAATGCTTGTAATTTCAAAATATTGTCTGGAAAGTCATGCTAAATGTCAAGATCAATGCTTTCTGTTGGTTGAATTGGCCTGGGTTCAATGACAGTAGGCCTAGGTTTGGTCTGGACTAAAGCAGAAGGAACCTTGGTGCAGAGGTTAAGTGCTCACCTGATAACAAAAAGGTTGGCAGTTCAAACCCACCATCCACTCGAGTGACAAAGACATGGTAGTTTGTTTCTGTAAAGATTAGAGCCTTGGGAACTCTATAGTTGTAGTGTGTTCTATCAGGTCAACAGGAGCCAGATAGATTAGACAACAATGTGATCTAAGGAGGGTATAATGAATGGTTTACAGTTAGCTGCTAATCTAAAGACTTGTGGTTCAAACCTAGCCAATAGCACTACAGAAAGTTCGGAAATCTACTTCCTTAAAACTTACAGTCACTAAAACCAAGAGACATTTCTATTTTGTATTATATAGAGTTGTCAGGGTTCAGAACCCAGTTTACATTCAGAATTTTGTTTTATTCAAAGAGAAGAGAGAGAGTACGGAACTCATTGAACAACTATGTGAAGTGTGAAAAGAGGAGCAAACATCTCCTAAGAGGGGGGGCCTTAATAAATCCACCTTGCACGATGGGTTTGGTATTGTTTGTTTAGGTTTTTCAATTGTATATATAGTCTAGAATATGCAAATGTGGAATTTTACTATTTAAATGTTCCTGAAAGTTATGAAGACACTTCCTACTGGGCATGAATCACCAAGAAATATTTAATATTTTGCTATACACCTATTGCTCATTAATTATATTTTTATTTGGCATGTCACACTTATGACAACAGTTAGAATGAACCACATAAATATTGTGTACAATATTGTCATATGACTGAACACTGAGGGGTAAGGTAAGAGTAATGCTGGCTGTGATGGGGAAGGTCACGAGCCAACCTGAATTTCAGTTGGTTGGCAGTTACGTGGTGCTATAATTTGAGTGTTATGTCTGTTTAGGCAGTTATATAACAATGCAATCTGGAAGTTCTGGACTGGGGCAGGTGTCTTCCAGGTTTCGATCTGATGTAGTCATTCTCGATTTTTGAGTAATGCCAATTTCCAATAGCGGCATGGTCTTTGGAACCTCATCATGTTGATAAGTGAGGAATGGGTGTGGTATTCTTGAAATGGAGTCTAAAAGTCTCATTTTTGTGGGTTTGCCAAATACAGACATTTCCTAATGAAAGGAAACGGGCTCCCCCCCCCTTTTAGGATAAAATGTAAAAGGAAAACACTGAACTTTATTAAGAACCCTGCAACTTGACTCAACGTGGGAGCAAAATGCAAGCTACATCACAGTTAACCACAGGCTACTGTTTTGTGAAGAAATCAGCAGACCAAAAAAGCTGAGGGGTTACGTGAAAATATGTGGGAAAGCTGTTGGGCATACATATGGTGAGTTTTGGCAGGAAGAAAGCAGATTTGTACAAATGTTGTGGTAAAGTCACTGCTCACTGAAATCATTGGTAAACCATAAGAAGGCTTGTTGAGTTTTGGAATGGATTTACTCCAAACTCAAAGCACGAGATTAAGACTGATTACTGTCGCTAAATACTGAAGCAAACTATTGCGTTTGTTTAAAGGAGTCTCTGGGTGGTGCCAATGAGTAATGCCAGGCTGTTAAGGTTGTTGTTGGATATGCAGAAACACTTACAAAGAAAGTTCTATCAATATCTACTTCCCAAAAATACTGGTCACTGAAATCCTATGGCCAAATCTACTCTGACAAAATTCCTACGAGGCCAGGAAGACTCATGGCACCTGCCTTCATTTGTTTAATAAAGAAACTTTCAAAAACGTTATGATAGAAATATATCTTGCCCTAAAAAGAGTTTTAATTTTTGTATGTTTTATTGGGAAAGCCAGAACTGGTATAACACGGCAAGAAGAAAAACTCAAGTATTTCCTACTAAAATGAGCTATAGAAAACTTGTAAGATTGCACCAGTCAAGGGCAGAAAACTTGCAAGGTCCAGAGAAACAAGACAGCACCAAGTTGAGCACTGGCTGTCACGGGTGTTTCACTGTATCTTCCAAGTTTTGAAAAACGGTGTTTCTTAAGGTCATGAGCTTGGAGCAGAGAGGTCTAGAATTTTGTGAAAATGCTGATTTGCTTGATTTGTCCATCTACATTCTCTCGAATGAAGATGTGAGTCACACCATGAAATCAGAGATTTATAGTCCATTCCAAACTGAGAACAATGGATAATCACCCTCCAGGGGTGCTGAGTGACTTCAGATAATGTTCTCTTCTCATGAGTATTAGAAAGAGAAGTTCATTCTAAGGTCTCAGGAAGGTTTGCCTCAGATAATGAGCATATCCTCATTTGAAGTTATAATAGGTTGTGTCTGCACGATTCATTGCTAGGTTAGCAAATGCCTTATTCCAGGGTCAGTGGAGATTTGTTATCTAGGTGCTGAGGTGTTGTATAAGAGCAACCTGCCCCATAGAATAACAGCACAGAGCTCTTCCGAAAGACTTCCAGAAAGTCTTATTAAACGGAACACACACTCTTGTTGAAGGAACAGTTTCACAAATGGACCGGACTCTCTAATGAACCATTTGAACAAGCCCTCTCTTTGACATCAGATCTCCTTCCCGACATAAAACTGTAAAAAAATAATCTGAATTATTACTTCTGTTACAGTGCCATTTTGTTCAAAATATTTCATTCAGGGATTCAAATATAATTACCCACCTAATAAAAGGAGCTATTAGGTTGTAAAGATCCTATCCCTTCCATGCTCTTTGAAAATTATGACCTACTCAAGCTTGAAATCAAAGGCAGAGCTGAAAGGAATAACTCAGCTGAAACTCTCTTATTGGGTTTTCAAGTCACCTAACCGATAAATATGCAAACCAGCTCCCTTTTGGCGATTCAGCTGCATAAACAGGGATTAGCTCCAAACGCAGCTGAAAAGTCAGAAATTAAAAGGGTGCTCTGAATTTCAGCTAGTTCCAAGCTGTAGAGAAGCGTGGCAATGGGTGTTTAAAAATCCTAGCCTACAATGAAGATGCTGCTTTAAAAAGTTGCCACTGGGGTTATGATGTGTCAGAGGCATCCACTGGTGCCTTCTCCCATGCTCCCTCCTGACCTTGACACAGGCAGGGAGCATTAGGCTCCTTGACAACAGGCCTTGGTGGTTGCCACTTGCCAATGGTGCTCTAAGTTAGAGAGGGGCCCTGTTGGTGGCATCAGCATCCCTTAAGAGAAGCTATTGTTGGAAATTGCTTTCACATGCTTAGAGTCTTTACTCAGGCAATGAATACCATTGCCCGAGGGCTGGACAGCAGACATTGGCTAGAAGGCCATGCTATGCATGGAGCTGGCTTCCTCACCCCATCTTGGCTGTTAAGGAGAATTCCAGAAGGTAATTCTCCTGATCAGCCTTTTGGCCAGGCTCCGGGAGAAGACGGCCATAGTGAAGCTTCGAAATGTCATCACAGTGTGGTATGGCTCAAAAGCCACCAAATTGAAACGTGTTCTGGTACAAGTTTGAGCACATGATCACTTTGTGTCTGAGAAGATTGCATATGACATCCTCTTTCCGGAAATACACAGCTACGGGCACGATGCCGATTTTTATGTCCCTTGATCTCCAGACATAATGAGAACCAAGGGTGGGATTAAAGTATTTGCTAAAATGGTTAAATTTTACAGCCCCTTGCTAATACCACCACTTATACAAGATGAGTGACAGAGTTACAAAACATAGGCATCTGCTGCCTTGTCTACTTTGTGCTGTCAGGAAGACATCCAATCCTTTGGTGTTGTCAGAGAATTCCTATGGGTGCTTTGTACTTTAAAGTTGAAAGCAAAGGAGTAAGCTTATACTGATCACCACGGCGTGATGCTACAGGTTGAAATAATGCACTTGCATTTTGTCAGACTAAACCTACATGGTTAAAGGGAAAACAAAACAAAACCCAAACCAAAAACGACAGACATTGACAGAATAAAACACAGGCAGTGGTTACAAGGGCGTGTCCTTACGATGGCAAAGACACAGGGCTCTCCTCACTGCAGTGTGGATGGAAGCATCTCTGCTTTGCTCTCAGGACCCATATACATCATTTTCAACACTCCTGACACCTATGGAAGAAAAGCTGTTTATTCCGTCTGAATGATGCCTGGGTCTTCCTTAGCCAAGTGGTCCTAGTGGTTGACCTGTACAGTGGTGGGAGTTCTTGGACACAGATGTGCTGCTTATGGGTAACTGGTATGCTGCAAAATTCCCGGGAAATCGGCCTCATCAATTTGGCCCTGTGTGTTAAAAGGCCGAGCCCGTAATGGCATTAAGTTGTTTCATAAGCCCTTCCAAACTTGCCATTTGTTCACTCAGGTCATCTTGTTCATATACCTACAGAGAGAAGAACAAGAGAAAAGTGTTAGTGCAAATGAGTATCAGTGCGTTCCTGTCTCAACAGTTGGGACGCTGTCTAGTTGGTTCACCCTGTGTGTATTCCCAAGGCTCCCATAGCTATCTATGGTCCCGACTGACGTCATAATATATTCACTGAATGAAGAGGATGCAATAAAAGAGGTTATGATGACTGATTTCATCTCCTTTAGAGCCTAAAAGATCCTGTCTCAAAAAAACTTTCCCCGACCATGAGCTGTGTGTTTTGGACAAGTCAGTGAACCTCTCTGAGGTGGAGTTTTCTTCATCTGTAAAATGATGTGGGAGCTGTGGTGGTGTAGTTTGTAGGGGGTTGCAGTACTAGTTCAAAGACCAAGCCCCTGTAGAGGTTTGAATACACCAGCTGCTCCTGGGAATATAAGAACCATCTCCGGCTGTGCCATTAGAAACCAGTCCTCGAAGGCCAATCTAGGGTCTGCTAGGAGTCAATTCCAATAGCAGTGAACAAGAAAGAGAGATAAAACAGTAACAATGATCGAGATTTCCTGAGCATCTCTTGTGACATATTTGGGGTCTGGAATGTGGTGCATATCAAATATACTAATTCCTTTCTCAATAGACTAAATCAAGATATGAACAGAATTGACAAAACCTGTCATCTCTTTGTAGCATAAAGTAGACACTGTGTGTGTGTGTGTGTGTGCGCGCGTGCAAGCGCGCGAGGGGGCTTAACAAGCTTTGCTTGACTAATGAAAGATCTGAGCATTATAACTAGTTTTTATATGTAACTAAAATTCACACCCAAACCACTGTTTGCTCTGAGTTTATGTGCTAGGAATCTTCTCAGCATGATTTGCATAGTGGATTAATTGAAGAGGTTGGATTTTGGTAAATTATGATCTCTCACTCATCATCAATATTACAGTAAGTAATATTTGTTACTGGGCTGTACCATATTATCAGGATAATAACACAGTAACACTGTATTACTAGGTCATGATAATACAGTAATATTCCATTGCTTGGTAATACTGTACTATCAGAAACCTTGGAGCTTCTGACTGAATACAGAAGGAGCCCAGAAACCTTTCTTTTCTAAACAAACATCCTAGGTAATTTTAGAGCTGTATATAAATATAAGCAATTTAGCTCATTGCCACTGAGTCGAAACTGACTGATAGCTAACCTTCCACTGGATGTCTGAGACTATAATTCACAGGGAGGGGGGAACTCTGGTGGTGGGGTCTGTAAGGTGTCACACCACCGACCCAAAGGATGAGCAAGTCTGGCAGTTTGAATCCACCAGTGGCTCCGCAGGACAGAGGTGAGCTTTCGTAACTTACAGCCTTGGAGATGTAGTGGAAGGCAGGCCAGCTATGAGTTAGCTTTGACTTCATGGTGATGAATTAGAGTTGTATATATATTTAGTGTATTTTGGTGCACTTGCTCTCTCTCTCGCGCACTGTGTGTGTGTGTGTGTGTGTGTGTGTGTGTGTGTGTGTGTATGTTGCCTAATAGTAAGAAGCTATGCTGCAGTCCTAAAGGCACATGGTTTGAATCTAGGAACTGCTCCATGGGAGAAAGATGGGTCAATTCAGACTCTATGGCATACAATAGCAACAACAACAACTCTGTTTCTCATTCTCTCTCCCCTCCCACCACATATAGAGAGAGAAAGAGTGAGCAGTCTTCTCCTGTGTGAAAACGTGCTGGAGGGTCAGTTATGAGTTGGTTCTGATTCAACAGCACACAACAACTATCTATCTATCTCTATCTATCTATCTATCTATCTATCTATCTATCTATCTATCTATCTATCTATCACCTCTCTAATATATCATCTCTATCTATCTATCATCTCTACCTATCTATCATCTATCTCATCATCTATCTATTCCTTCCCTTTAGTAAATATGATGTCCTTTCCTCATCATTGCCTTTTCCTACTGCCGTGTTCACTGTAAGACCGCTGAAGATTCACCATTTTCACTTAGAGTGACCACACATACATGATGACGCTAAGATGCATGGAGTTTATCCTGGCTTGGTGGTAAGGAGCTGGGCTGCCATATGCTCAGAGGCATGTGGTTTGAATCCATCAACGGCTCCGTGAAAAAAGATGGGCAACTGCCTCTTGTGTAATTTGCTGTCTCTGTAAACCTGCTGAAAAGTCAGCTATAAGTTGGTTCAAGCTTGATGGTATGTACAAGCAATAGCAAACCCCATGACACTTACACTGCTTATACTACATGTGTGTGTGTGTGTGTGTGTGTATTTATTTATTTTATATAAACAGTATAAGACTCATGGGACTTTGTCAATCCTCCTCCCCCAGAAAAAAAAGACAAAGCAAACCCATACCCCCTGTCCTCGAGTTGACTCTAATTTACAGTAACTCACAGAACAGAACAGAATTGCTCCACGTGATTTCCAAGGCTGTAATTCTGGAAGGGAGCAGACTGCTGCATTTTTCTTCCCCAGAGGTTCAAACAGACTATTTTTTTTAGTGAACCGTCCAACGCTTAAGCTACTCCACCACGAGGGCTCTTTCATGGGACTTTAGAGTCAGCAAAAAGAAGATGACACTTGAGGAACTAGATTTGTCTAAAATAGAGACAAAAGTCCCTCATTCTGTAGCTTTTTGTGTTATGAAGTTAGTATTTTATTTAGCTAAATGCCAAATTTACTTGTCCTCTTTAGAGTTTATGGCTTCTATTATTCAACTTGCAGAAAAATAGCGCAAACCCAACAGCAATATGAACAGCAAGGGCGGCAGTCGACTGAGCATGCGCGTTGGCTGGGACGACCCAGCGCGCCAACACTCAGTGCTTCCTTTGCTGCCGTGTGGATTTCAGGGATGCTCTTACACTGGCTGGGTCTTCCGATGGTTTGTGGCTCTCTTCAGACACTTCAGGGGCTGTTGGCACAGACACAGGAAGCAATGGGGATCTTGCCTTTCCAGCCAAACCAAGAGAGGCTGTTTTAACATGGGTCTTGGGAAGAGTAGGTCCTGAAATAGAAGACACAGTGTGATACAATTGATATAGAAAACATTCTGGGGAATAATCGCTCAAGCCTGTAAGCCAAATCCAGCAGTTGGCATTGATTTGGGGTTATTGTTCATTCTGCATCAGAGAGACAGATTCTGACACAATGAATGGACTCATTTTATTTCCACTGAGTGGAAGACAAATTCTGATTAGGCCTCCCCAGATGAAGCTCCACTAGTCGTATGTAATTTCAAGTGGTTTCACATCACCTTGGGAAGCGTGCCTGGAAGCTCTGGATTTTTCATCATGCCAGGCAAGCTCATTTGGTGCCAGTCTCAGCTTTGGGCCAGCAATCTCTGTACTAAACTACCTAAATCAGCCCTAAATTGTATAACAGGAGCAAGAGAGATTTGCAACATTCAGAAAGGTGGCTGCTCTAGTCTACAAATGAGAATTCGATATTACAGTAACATAACATTGCTCAGGTCCAAGATGATGGAATATCTTTACTAATTCTCTTCTGAGGGGAAAAAAGTAATATAATTCTGAGTACATCAGCATTGCTTTTCGTCAATAAGAGACATTCTACTGCTCCTGAAAGTTATTTGAGAAACTGCTGAGATTCTGCCAGATGGCTTTTCTGTCTGCTGTAAGCTATGTCTGTGTTTTAGTTGTTGTTGTTATGTGCCATCAAGTCACCTGTGACTCACAGTGACCTTATGTTCAATAGATCTGAAGCCTGGCCTGTCCTGAGCCAGTCTCACTGAGTCCAACCTATCTACCCCCATTGTCCTAGTTACTGTATCAACCCATCTCATCTGGACTCTTCTTCTACTGTGCTGTCCCTCCACCCTTCCAAGCCTGATGTCCTTCTCCAAGGATCGGTCCCTCCTGGTCATATGCACAAAGTGTGTGAGACAGAATGTCAAAATCCTAGCCTCCAAAGAGAAACTTGCTTTTACCCTAGACAGACCAATTTGTTTTCTTGGTGGTCCATAGTATGTTCAATGACCTTCTCCAGCACCACAATTCAAAGGCATCAATTCTTCTTCTATCATCCTTAGTCATTATCCAGCTCTTTGATTCATAGCAAGTAATTGTGAAAACCATGGACTGGATAGGGAGCACCTTAGTCTCTAGACTGACATCGTTGCTTCTCAGTACTCTGGAAAGTTCCCTGACAGCAAATCTACCTAGCACAATTAATCGTTTAATGTGATTTTTATTTAAGTATATTTTATTTAATGCAATTATTCTTCTATGTACTAATAACCCTTGTGCTTAACATTATTGTTATTTTATTGTGAAATTAACCCTTTTAACTATTATCATCCCTGTTTACATATAGAGACGCCAGAGCATGTTCATGCCAGCACATTTCTCAAAGTACATGCTCAAGTAGGAGTTTACATCAAGACCTACCTCATGCTACTGAACAAGTTCAGGTTCATCACACCTATCTTTATCACCCAGTCAGCAAACATATGAATTTCAGAGAAGCAATGGAAAAGAACATGCAAAGACTAAGTAATTGGAGTCTTTTTCTTTCTCTTAGCTCCATAGAGTCAGTTCTGACTTACAACAGTCTTTCCAAGGTTGTAAACTGAATGAGAGGAGACTGTTAATCTTTGACTCTCAGAGCAGCTGGTGGATTTGAACCATCAGAGAAACCTTAGAGCTAGCAGTGTGACTCACTATGGACCATGCAGTCCAAGTTCCCTAATATGAAAATAGAAACTATTTAGTGCATGGTTTTTTATAACTAAGTTCTTAATTTAAAGGTAAAAGCCAAAACACTAAGAAACTTCATCATTGGTTTAAACTATTTTCCCTACCGTGTTCCTTAAGGAAACACAAATATAAAACTTGGCATGAATGTCACAAACCTGTAGCTCTTATAAGACCAAAGTAGACTTGAAACTTAAAGTGCTATAATGCAAGGACTGCCAAAAGAACAAACGAATCAATCCTGGAAGAAATAGAACCAGAATGCTCTTTAGGAGAAAAGATGTTTAAATGTCATCTCTTAATCCTTGAGCATGCTATCAGGATGGATCAGTCCTATAAAGCTAGTACTGCCAAAGGTACAAACAAATCAGTCTGGGAGGAAAGGAAGCCAGAACACTCCTTAGAAGAAAAGATATTTAAACATCATCTCTTACACTGTGAGCATGTTATCAGGAGGAGTCAATCTCTGGGGAAAGAAGGTAAAGCAGTAGTTGCTAATATGTACTGTTGAGTCCACTATGACTCCATTTGACTCTATGGGCAGCAGACCAAAACCCTGTCTTACCCTGCACCATCCTTACCTTCTCCACCAAGCTCAAGTTCATTGCTGCAGTCACTGGGTCAACCTATCTCATCAAGGGTCATCCTTTCTTCCACTGACTCTCCACTTTTTCGAGTATAGTAGAAAGTAAATGAAAAAAGAGAAAGACTCTGAATGAGATGGATTGACCCAGTCATCTACAATTGGTAAAGCACAGTGCAGATGGTGAGAACGGGGCAAGATTGGAAGAGCTATGTTGTACTGTCACTCTGAACAATTCAATACTCCTCTCCACACCACAGCTCAAAGGCATCAGTTCTCCTATCATTTCTAGGCATTATTCAGCTTCTTGACCCATAGCAAGTAATTGCAAATACCATGGCCTGGATGAGGCACACCTCAGTCACCAGACTGACATCGTTGCTCTTCAGTACTTTGGAGAGGTCTCCAACAGCTGACCTTCCCAATGAAATTAATCTTTTAATTTCCTGGCTGCTGGTACCAAAAGTGTTGATTGTGGAGCCAAGCAGACCAGCTGTTAACGATCTCAAACTCTTCATCGTCTATCATGATGTGATCAATAGGCCCATTGGTGATAATCTTTGTTTTCATGATGTTGAGCTTCAATCTATATTGAATGCTACAGTCCTTGACCTTCTGCAGCAAGTGCTTCAGATCCTCCTCAGTTTCAGCAAAAAGGGTTGTGTCATCAGTGTAACGCAAAATGTTGATGAGTCTTCCTCCAATCCTGATGTTGCATTTCTCCTCTTATAGACCAGCCTCTCAAATAATCTATTCTGCATATAGATTGAAAAAGTATGGAGATAGGACCCATACCCCTGGCATACACCCTTCCCAATTTTGAATCATGTTCCTTGGTCTGTTCTGATGACTGCCTCCTTGTAGAATTGGCAAAAAACAAGGTCCAAAGAATTGACAGCACACCAATTGACATATTTCAACAAAGAGACAGACCCTGTACTGGATGTGCTCAGCAAGTTGTGCCAAGAAATTTGAAGGACAACGACCTGTCCAACTGACTGGAAGAGATCTAGATTTGTTCCCATTCCAAAGAAAGGTGACCCAACAGAGTGTGAAAATTATCAAACAATATCATTGATATCACAGGCCAGCAAGATTCTACTGAAAATTATCCAAAAACAATTAGGATAGCACATCAATGGAGAACTTCCAGAAGTGTGGGCTGGGTTTAGAACAGGCCATGATACAAGGGACATTGTAGCTAATGTTAGAAGGATCTTGGCTGAAAGAGGAGAATAACCAAGGAATGTTTATCTGTGTTTCCTTGACTATGCAAAGGCATTAGACAGCATGAATCACAACACACTGTGGCTAACTCTGAAAAGAGTGGGAATCCCAGAACACTTGATTGTGCATATTTTATATTAGGAAACATGATACTAAAGATTCCTTTAGTAAAGGAGGCATGTGACTTAGTGCTAAGGAATTGTTCTGCCAGTCTAGAGGCAGGTGGTTCAAATCTACCAGTTGCTTCAAGAGAGAAAGATGAATAATATCTCATGTGATTTACAGGCTCTGAAAACCCACTAAAGGGTCACTTATGAGTTTGTTCCAACTTGATAACAGGTAACAACAACAACAACAACAACAACAACATTCTATGTCAGTTCCTACTATCTGGCAGGGTTCGGATCCATTTCTTAGGGTTGCTATGAGTCATAGTTGACTTGATAGCACCTAACAATTTGCTTTACTATTTGGTTGTGTTTTTTTGTTTGTTTGTTTTGTTTTGGTTTGGAGCAACTTGGCCCATATGAAAACAAAATTCCTAGGCATGGCCTAGATTTTCACTAAAAATGCATCATTTGGATTGTTTATTTTATTCCAGGGGCCTAAATACTTAGATGCATCAATTGTGTATTATACTACATCTTCTCCACTTGTGTTATTACAGTAATATACATGTTCACCATAAAAAGTACATATCTCGGGCGCTTTGGTGGCCTAGTGGCAAGAAGCTGCACTGCAGTCCCAGAGGTGCATGGTTCGAATACACCAGATGCTCTGCCGGCGAAGGAGGGATAATCTCCTGTATCAGTCAGATCTGATTTGACGGTACACACACACACACACACACACACACAAATAATAAAATAAAAGTTAAAAAAAAACACCCTACATATCTCAAAACCATTAGGATGAAGATGATTATAGTAACTGATTTTTCTCTAGTGTCTGGGCAACAGGTCTACATTCAGAACCCACTGAGTGCTGAACAATGCCCAATACACTGCATTTACAAAAAGAATTGAAGGCATTGTCTTGGTTCAAAGGCCACATGGTGTGTGGAAGTGTGTAGCGATCACCTTCTTCTCAGGTACCACTGACAGAAGCACAGGAACTGAGCTCCCGAGCACTCACCTGGTGACATCTCTTTATTTTGCGAGAGAAAACACCAAGGTAACATGAGCCCAAGGTATCAAAGGAGAACTCATCTCAATACAATTTTAGTATGGGAGAAAAATGTCATCTCCTAACATTCATTATTTGTGGATTTGATTGGGGCAGGTTTTAAATATTTTTCATGAGAGAGGAATTAAGGACAACACTCAAAGGAAATTTCCCAGGATTGCTTTATCATCCAATTAGGCAACTGTGATCTTAAAATTGCCCTTCAGGAAAGATGGAACAAATATTACAAATATTACATTAAAACATCGTATGTTGCAAAGTTGAAACTCTTATTCTTGGGTGTATATTAAGTCTTCC